TGATGATCGCATTATTTTTCATATGCATCTGTTTACATAAGAGGTCGCTCGTTTCTCCGTCCTGTTCACATGTGTTTTTGTTCGGGAGGTTTTGTACTCGTTCAGAAGATGCGTAATAGCGCCCCCGAGTGTATAACAGTGAAAACACGGAAAGCCGTAAAAACTCGTATTTGGCGGGGAAGCGTTTTCTTGTAAAAGACGAGATAACTCGTCAATGGCGGGGAAAGAGTTAATAAGCAGTAACTAGGAGTTTATTGAGCCAAAAGTCATAGTTAATAATTAGTTAATAGTGAGAACTGGACCTTAAAATAAGGTGTGACCGTAAAACACATAGCGATGCCCTGGTAACTACCCAAAACATCCTAGCATCCAATGCCCAGGCAACCACCCAAAACACACTAGTAAAACTCATAGCAACGACCTGGTAACCATCCAAAACACTCTAGTAAAACTCATAGCAAAAATTTTATGGCCTCCAGTATATTTTGCTGTATGAATATTTGAATATGCAATACAACAAAATAAAGATCAGAGCCTCTATTTTTAAACAAAAAAATCCGCTTTATTCTAGCTTAAAGCATTCTTTTTTTATCAACACGCTGTTTATTAGTACTTATAAAGCACATATTCTGCACGACCATATTACACATCCTTAATCCTATCCAATACCTAAACTCAACAACTACCGTACTAACTATTAATAAGCAGTAATTAGGAGTTTATTGAGCCAAACGTCATAATTAATAGTTAGTTAATAGTGAGATCTGGAACTTAAAATAAGGTGTGACCATAAAACGCATAGCAGCACCCTGGTAACCATCCAAAACACTCTTCTAAAACGCATAGCAACACCCTGGTAACAACCCAAAACACACTAGCAAACGCAGAGCAATGTGTCTGTATTTAATACTTTCATTCAGCAAAGATTCATCAAATTGATCAAACGTGACAGTAAAGACATTTATAATACTACAAAATATTTCTATTTTAAACAATACTGTTCTTTTTGCACTTTCTATCCATCAAAGAATGCTAAAAAAAATGTATCCACAAAGTTTCCACAAAAATATTAAACAGCACAACTGTTTTCAACATCGATAATAACAGCAAAATCAGCATTTTGGACTGGAGAAATTCAGCTTTGCATCACAGGAATAAATTACATTTGAAAAGATATTTAAATAGAAAACAGTTATTTGAAATTGTAAAATTATTTCACAATATTACACTTTTTACTGTATTTTTGATCAAATAAATGCAGCCTTGGTGAGACTTCTTTCAAAAACTTTCAAAATCTTTTGATTAGAAGTGTATGTGAGATACAAAAGTTAAATGGGTCGTGATTCCCGTTTCAAGTTGACTTTCAATTTTCGCTACAGCTGAAATCCTAGTAATTGTAAATGCTGTAAATGTGATCTTACAGACACAGGGGGCTTGACTGACTATGTTTGGCTGTGGATAGATTTAATTAACGACTGAAGTATCGTTTGATCATTTAATTGAGCGTATCAAGGGACTGAGCTGTTTGCTTAATAAACTGCATATTAAATAATTAACAAGTGTGGCCTATTCGACCGTATTGGACAAATCGCAATTAAGCAGCGCAAACACAGATCTTATTTCCTACTGTCTGTGTGTGTGTAGCCTTGTTCCACTCATATTTTCTCCCACTGGATTACCAAACGTCATGACTTTTAGCTCAGCCTTTGAGCTTGTAGAAAACCCATTTGCCCAGCTGCTGAAGAAGTGTCCTTGGAGGGAATGAAAAGAAACAGTGAGGGGTGGAGAGATGTCTTTCTGCACTTTCCTTTGCTCTTAAGCACTCCATTTTTCCTCTGCAGGGTGAAGTGAACGCTAACAGTCTCCCGCTAGAGGACCTGTCCATTCAGCATCCCCAGGTGAGGCCCGGCTGGCGCTGACTGTGTTGCTGTGATTCATCTTGATTCGGTGGCCCTGACGCTCTGTGCTGTGAGGCGGCTGGTCTCTGGGCGGTCTGGACTCCACCCTGGGGGCCCGACTGGCCTTGAGGGAGCCTATTAAACTTAATATCTCAAATAAAGAGTAAGAGTGGATGCCTGCTGCAGCAGCATCTGGAAAAGAGTCTCTGCTCCAAAACCTAATGAGCCATCTGTGTAGGGAGCATTTTAATGCATCATAGCTGCACTTCGGACACAAAGACTGTTTGAAGTGGTAGCTTCTTTCATTTGCATTTATCCTTTGTAAAGAAGGCAATCACATGATGCACTGCAGTGATTTTTTTAGTACTATTTATAAACTTTTACAGTTTTTATAAATATTTTAAATGAGCTTTTATTTTTTTCAGTTTTCATTAAAATTTTTAGTACATTTCTGTGTTTTTTTTTGTTCAGTTTTAGTTTTTTTTATTTACAGTTAGTATTTCTCGTGCTTCCGCTTTTGTTTAATTGTAGTTAATGATATTATAACCCTGATGCATTGTGATAAAAATGTTGAACAAAATGTGAGAAAATTATTAAATAAAATTAATAATTCAGTTTAATTAATTAAGGATGCACCAATAATAAACTTCTGATATGGCTAATAACTGATAAATGACTGATATTAAAATGTATGCTATTTTTTTTTGAGTGAATGAAACATTTTAACTAAAAACTAAAAATGAATCAATTTAAATCTTCAAGTAGATTTTGGCACCAAAACATTGTAATATCCTGTATGAAAAATTGATTTTCATTTTAAGATTGGCTTAAAATTATTTTTACTATTAATTACTATTAATTATAGTATTTATTAATAGCTTATATTTTTAAATTTTCTGAATTTTAGTTGAATTATTAGTAAATCTAATTTTCATTTAGAGTTTTAAGTTTTTCACCTTTTATTTTTATTTTATTTTATTAAAGAAAAAAAAACAGTTTTTAATTTAGTTTTAGTCCATAACAACACTGACTTTTTATGGAAATAAAAATAGAGGTATGTGCAAATAAATATCATATATCGGCCAACATAGATATCCTGACTAGAGTAATTTTGCTTCACATCTCCAGCATAACGCTTATTTCCTCAAGACCTGTGTGTAAACTGCAGCGCGTGCCGTGTAAAGATCTTTTAACCTCAACGTCCAGAGCACTTTGACATTAGCAAGTAACTTACCATCATGTTGTGTGTTTCTGTCCAGGTTCAACCATTGGAGAAACTCTCGAGCGCTCAGGGAGCGGTGAACATGGTCCTGAGGTTAAGGTGAGCGATCTCATTGCCGTTTCTCTTTTCTCTGTCCCTCTTTGTACTTCTTTTATGTGGAAAGAGCGGCATGTTGTCTGTATAAAGTGGCCTGATAGTGCAGTGTGTGTGTGTGTGTGCGCTGCTGGAAGAAGTGTTTGTCTCTTTTTAAACGATCTCTTTCAGTCCATCTCTCGCCTCATGTTGAAGTGCATCGTGTTAATGCATTTTCTCAATTGCCCTGGGTTAGCGTGGGAAGCGGTCCTTTAACCCTGACCTCGTGTTTGCATTCTCCTGCCTGAATTTGTGTTTGAGCCCATACAAAAGAGAGACGACGATATGTTCTCAGATCACGTGTAAGGCCAGAAAAGCTGAAGCGAGTGTTTGACAAAACCATTGCGAGAGCATGGTTGTGTTTTACTTATTTAAAGTTGGCATAAAATAGAAATATCGACCAGCTTGCATTGTGAAGCAGCTTATCGACCAAAGAAAAACGCAGGGCGGGACTTGAGTTCATTCGTCAGTTGTTGATTGGACTGTGAGAAGTGAGCATTACATACCAGAATGAAGGTGGATGTAAATATGTGACCCTGGACCACAAAACCAGTCTTAAGTGTAAATTTTTCGAAATTGAGATTTATACATCATCTGAAAGCTGAATAAATAAGCTTTCCATTGATGTATGGTTTGTTAGGATAGGACAATATTTGGTCGAGATAAAACTATTCTTTACTTAATGTCCTAATGATTTTTGGCATAAAAGAAAAATGGATCATTTTGACCCATACAATGTATTTTTGGCTATTGCTACAAATATACCCCAGCGACTTAAGACTGGTTTTGTGCTCCAGGGTCACATATGAGTCAGTCATATTACAGGAAGAGCAAGTTATGACATTTTGATTGTCCAATATGAATAGTTCACAATAAGACCATTAACAAATACAGTAAGTAGGTTCTATTTTGATGTCATGGGGACTTTAAAGTCCTAATGAAATGGAAGTAGCAACAGATCTTTTTTCCTGATTGTGAGGTATATCAGAGTGTAATCATATTTATAATCATATTCCTGCATCATATTTGCTTAATGAAATAGAATTCTTGTTTCTTAATAATGCTGGGGTGCTGATTGCAAAAACAGTGTCTGTTTTGCTCTAGCGAGTCACACTTCCTCACAAAATATGATGGATTTTGTAGCATTTTTGCTTTAGACAACCATTTGTAAAGTGAAGAAGTCTTATATTATCCCTTAATCAGCAGAAAAAAATGCCACAAAGACATGATTCCCATCTTCCTCGGAGCCAGGTTACAACTACTGATTTTCATGTGTATGAATGATTCTGAACACGTTATTTTATGCCTAATCCTGATTTCCACTTTTTCTCCAGATTGTAAGTTAAATTATGCATTTTGAATATTTATTTTTGTCATTAAATTGGAGACTTTTGACTGCTTTTGTTATTTATTTATTTTTGAAGTGCATTAAAACTGATGCATGTATGTAATTTGAAAAATAATTCTTATTTTGTGAAAAGGTGATGGAATTTTTTTTTCTTTCATCAAATTAGGTAATATTAGGCCTTTTTGCAAATCAGCATTATTCATTGATAAAATTAGTTTTTATGTAGAAATGCAACAGGCATAATTAATGTTCTCAGTCCAGACATGTTTATTATTGCTGATGAACCTAATGAATTAATCAAGAAAACTGGATTTCCAATGACCAATCAACTGAATCAAATACTGTAGAAAATAATTTCAAAAGGCTTTACAGGTTTTGTCTTATTGGTCAGGTCTGAAAAAAAAAATCCTTTAATGAAATTTGTTGATTATAACAGGTCTAGGTCAAAGGTCAATAGTTTACTTTCTTAATGAAAATTTTTTGGTCTTATTATGACCAAGTCATTAATTGTCTTTGTAATATTTAATTAAAATGCATTTTTAAGTCGAGTTTTCGTTTTCTTGTTTCTTAATAATGCTGGGGTGCTGATTGCAAAAACAGTGTATTTTTTGCTCTAGCAAGTCACACTTAATGAACAGTTGCCAAATAACTATTTAGGCATTGCTTTATTAAACTCTTATTCAGTCTGGCTTCATTTTGTTATTTGGTCCACTCAATTCCCCCAAAAGTTCAACCCTACAAATTTTAGCATTGAATATTCTGTACCCCACAGAATTATGTCACATTATGGAAGCAAAATGGGCTTTTCACATTGATGACACATTGATTCATTTTGTTTTAACATAATGTGGTTCATAAAGGGCTAAATATTTAGCTGTTTCAATGATGCTTTTAGTTACCAGTAAGAGTGTAGTACACATTTTACCTTTTAAATCTAGCAGAACTCGGGTTTTTCCCCACAGAATCAGCACAGAAATACAAAATGTCTACAGGTTGTGTGGTTCACCGGCATGTTCACAACTAATCATTACATTGAAATCTTTCTGTCTTTCAACCAATTACCCTCAACAGCCTCAGTTTGGAATGACAGAGAGAATGAAGCGTGTGAAGAGGCTTTTTCAATTATCTGCATTGAAACTTCTAAACAACATTGATTCAGTGCCAAAAACAGACACCTAATCAAGCTGCACGGACAGCTGAGTTTGAACAGAGAGAGAGAGAGGTTGCTGTAAACAGATGCAGGAGAACAGAGACAAATGGCTCGCATCCATTTGCACAGTTCGGCTCATCAGAACGGATCAGGATAATGGGTAGGAAAGCGAGGGATAGACTTGTTTGTGTGTGCTTGCTAAATGATTTCAAATGACTTTAATTAACTCTGCAAATAATTCTTGACGTAAATACACACAAGTGAATCAGTGAACGCGCCGCCGTTAGAGGCTGATCGGTAAAGCCGTATGCAAACGTTCTCTTATGATTACCTGTCCGAAGCTGAGATTGACCCAGGATGATCTGAATATTTGGCTCGATTATGAAATCAATTTCGTTTGGGTCTTTGTTTGGCGGTGTGTAAAGTTTGGACCTCAATAATGCTTGTATAAATCTACAGACCTGGTGCAATGGAAATGTTTGCACGTGATACCATCTAAATACACAGATTCAAAGGAATAGTTCACCCAAAATTGCAAATATGCAGAAAAGTCACTCACCCTCAGGTCATCCGAGATGTAGATGAGTTTGTTTCTTCATCAGAACAGATTTGGAGAAATGTAGCATTGCATCACTTGCTCACCAATGGATCCTCTGCAGCGAATGGGTGCCGTCAGAATGAGAGTCCAAACAGCTGATAAAAACATCACATCATTAAGATGTTTTTAACTTTATAAGGTCGCTTCTGGCTATAATGCAATTCCTCTATCCAGAATATTGCTTTCAGTGAAAAAGTCTGAATCAGGAGAGAAATTTGCACAAATCATGGACTGTTTACAACAGTTCTGAACAAATATGTTTGTGGATTTTGATGTGAGATGACAACAAAGGATGGACTTTCTCACTAGAGGAAGCGTTATTATGGATTATGGACTCTTGGCCAGAAGCGATGGTTAAAAGTAAAAATGCCTTAATGATGGGTTTGTTTCTTACAAACATGCAGCTTTTCACTTCACAAGACATTAACTGATGGCCTGGAGTGGTGTGGATTATTGTGATGTTTTTATCAGCTGTTTGGACTCTCATTCTGACGGCACCCATTCACTGCAGAGGATCCATTGGTGAGCAAGTGATGAAGAAACAAACTCATCTACATCTTGGATGGCCGAAAGGTGAGTACATTTTTTTTTTTGGGGTGAACTATTCCTTTATGGTGAAATATGAAAGTGCTGAATTACTGGCTGGTTGATCACAATGGTGGCTTGTTTAGCAAGGAAAGTTATTACGCTAGTTTCCTGATATTTAGATTTTCTTTGAAATTGAAACGCAGTGTGAAATCTCTGGATCCCATCACGAAGCGTACAGAGGCATGAGTCTATAAATCTGGGGTTTATTGGGATTCAGCTGGCAGAGAGAAAAATGTCGGTGTTTGGAGTGGCTTGTGTGGAGTGGCTTGGAGAGAAGGGCGAGAGAGAGTGAGGAATTCTCAAGAGAGAGAATGGATTTCTAGATATTGCTCTGAATTTAGATTTAGATTCTCTTCAGTGTCACATGAGGAAACGCCAAAACACTGTTCATTTGAACTTTCTATTTACCAATGAATCCTGAACAAAAAAGTATCATGGGTTCCACAAAAATACGAAGCAGCACAACTGTTTTCAACATTGATAATAATCAGAAATGTTTCTTGAGCAGCAAATCAGCATATTAGAATGATTTCTGAAGGATCATGTGACACTGAAGACTGGAGTAATGCTGCTGAAAATTCAGCTTTGCATCACAGGAATAAATGACATTTTTAAAAAAATATATTACAATAGAAAACAGGTAAACTGTAATTAATATTTCACAATATTAATGTTTTTTCTGTATCAAATAAATGCAGCCCTGGTGAGAATAAGAGATTTCTTACCAATTCTAAACATTTGAATGATAGCGTATAGCAAATATTTAGAAAATGTGGTTAAATTTTTTTGGTCTGTTACAGTTTTTTTTTTTTTGTCATTTTCCACATTCATTGACTGAAATTATACGCCATTTTTCTGCAGAGAAGTGGAACATAAAATCAAAACATAAGATAGTTTGAAAATTTTTTTTGTGTGTCTGTACAATGAAAGTCAATAGACTCCAATGTTGTTTGGACCCCATTCACTTTCAGATTATCACCTTTGTGTTTCACAGTTGAAATATGACACAAAATCTCTCAGGTTTCACAAAACACAAACGCATACAGGTTTGGAATGACATGACTGTGAGTAAATGCAGACAGAATTTTCATTTTTGTGTGAACTATCTCTTTAAGACGATTCCATTCTTTAACCTTGTTAAACTCACTGCAGTGAACGGCCTCTCATGGCTTTTTGCTTTATTATAGTAGCACACCTTTTAAAATTGAGACAATATTGGACAATATTGTGTTTTTGATTAGCTTTTGCATTCATGTTCATATATTATTCATATAAATGAGCCT